GAGATCAACAGAACGTGGTCAAAGCAGCAGTCACAAACATGGTAGATCGAAGTCGAGGAGCAAGAAGAATTTAAAGTGTTACAACTGTGGAAAGAAGGGTCATTTGAAGAAGGATTGTTGGAGTCTAAATAAAAACTCCAATCCACAAGGTAATACCGCAAACATTTCAGAAAATGGAGATGCTCTATGCTGTGAAGCGTCAACCACCGTGGAAGGAAGAAAATGATTTGCAGATATATGGCTCATTGATTCGGGAGCAACATATCACATGACCTCAAGAAGAGAACGGTTCCATCATTATGAACCTGTCTCAGGAGGATCTGTTTATAGTTGCAATGATCATGCCTTAGAGATCGTTGGCGTGGGAACCATCAAATTGAAGATGTATGACGGAACAATTAAAGTTGTTCGAGATGTGCGGCACGTGAAAGGCCTTAAGAAAAATTTATTATCATACGGATTGTTAGATAATAATGCAAGCAATATTGAAACACGGAAAGGAATCATGAAAGTGTTCCGTGGAGCACTTGTGGTACTGAAAGGCGAAAAAATAGCTGCAAACTTGTACATGATGAAGGGAGAGACTTTGGTAGAAGCAGAAGCCTCTCTTGCCTCATGTAGTTCAGATTCGGCAATGCTATGACATCAGAAACTTGGACACATGTCAGAACAAGGAATGAAAGTCCTTGTGGAGCAAAAGCTACTTCCAGGCTTAACAAAGGTATCACTTCCTTTGTGTGAGCATTGCATAACAAGTAAGCAGCACCGGTTGAAATTCAACACATCAAATTCTAGAGGCAAAAGTGTTTTAGAATTGATTCACTCTGACGTATGGCAAGCACCAGTAACGTCCCTAGGTAGAGAAAAATACTTTGTCTCATTTATTGATGACTACTCCAGGAGATGTTGGGTGCACCCTATTAAGAAGAAGTCAGACGTGTTTTCAACTTTCAAAAACTTCAAAGCGCGGGTGGAACTTGATTCTGGAAATAAGATCAAGTGTTTCAGAATAGATAATTGAGGAGAATACACAAGCGAAGAATTTGATGACTTTTGCAGGAAAGAAGGTATCAAAAGACAGTTCACAGTGGCGAACACTCCTCAACAAAATGGAGTGGCAGAGCAGATGAACAGAACCTTGTTAGAAAGAACAAGAGCAATGTTGAGGGATGCAGGCCTAGAAAAATTATTCTGGGCAGAAGCAGTCAATACCGCCTGTTATTTGGTGAATCGAGCTCCATCAACTGCAATAGAGCTGAAGACACCAATGGAGAAGTGGACTGGAAAACCAGCTGATTATTCAAACCTCCATATATTTGGAAGTATAGTGTACGTGATGTACAACTCCCAAGAAATTTCAAAGTTGGATCCAAAATCCAGGAAATGTAAATTCTTGGGGTATGCTGATGAAGTAAAGGGGTATCGCTTGTGGGATCTCACTGCCCGCAAAGTGATCATTAATAGAGATGTTATCTTTGTAGAAGATAAACTACAAAGAAAAGAAGACGATGATAGCACTGAAAAGTCAGAGACTACTCAGATACATGTGGAAAAAGAGTTTGAAGAAGGAGATTCTTCTGAAGCAGAACCAGCACATGATGAACAAGAACCAGAGAGTTCTGAAGCTCCAACAACTCGTCAATCAGATCGTGTGAGAAGACGTCCCAATTGGCACTCAGATTATGTTATAGAAGGTAATATTGCATACTGCCTTTTAACAGAGGACGGTGAGCCATCAACATACCAGGAGGCAATAAACAGCTCAGATGTTTCACTGTGGATGATGGCGATACAAGAAGAAATCGAAGCCCTTCATAAAAATAATACATGGGACCTTGTGCCACTACCACAAGGAAGGAAGCCAATTGGTAACAAATGGATCTTCAAAATCAAGCGAAATGGTGACGATCAAGTTGAGAGGTATCGTGCAAGACTAGTGGTCAAAGGATATGCTCAAAAAGAAGGTATTGATTTCAATGAAATATTTTCTCCCATGGTTCGACTAACAACAGTTCGAGTAGTTTTGGCAATATGTGCTACATTGAACTTACATCTAGAGCAACTAGATGTTAAAACAGCTTTTCTTCATGGAAATCTTGAAGAAGAGATTTATATGCTCCAACCTGAAGGTTTTGAAGAAGACGAAAAGAACTTGGTTTGCAGATTGAACAAATCTCTGTACGGTTTAAAGCAGGCGCCGAGGTATTGGTATAAGAGATTTGATTCCTTCATTATGTGCCTTGGATACAACAGACTTAATGCAGACCCTTGTGCTTATTTCAAGAGGTCTGGTGATAACGATTTTGTTATATTGTTGTTGTATGTGGCTGACATGTTGGTTGCAGGACCCAACAAAGATCATATTGAAGAATTGAAGGCACAACTGGCTAGTGAATTTGAAATGAAGGACTTGGGATCAGCAAACAAGATTCTAGGGATGCAAATTCGCCGAGACAGAAGTAATAGGAAGATTTGGCTTTCACAAAAGAATTACTTGAAGAAAATCTTGTCACGATTTAGCATGCAAGATTGTAAGCCAATTTCTACCCCTCTTCCTATTAACTTCAAATTATCCTACAGTATGAGTCCTAGCAGTGAAGAAGAGAGGATGTAGATGTCTCGAGTACCGTATGCATCATCAGTGGAAAGTTTAATGTTCGCTATGATATGCACAAGACCAGACATTACACAAGCAGTGGGAGTGGTTAGTCGATACATGGCGAATCCAGGCAAAGAGCATTGGAATACAGTAAAGAGGACCCTGATATACATCAAAGGGACCTCAAATGTTGCATTATGTTATGGAGGATCAAACTTACTAATCAATGGGTATGTAGATTCTGACTATGCAGGGGATTTGGATAAAAGCAAATCTACTACAGGATATGTGTTCAAAGTTGCTGGTGGAGCTGTAAGTTGGGTTTCAAAATTACAGTCAATTGTGGCTACATCCACAACAGAGGCAGAATATGTAGCGGCTACACAAGCTAGTAAAGAAGCAATTTGGTTGAAGATGCTATTGGAGAAGCTTGGGCACAATCAAGAGTATGTCTCTCTGTTTTGTGACAGTCAAAGCGCCTTGCATCTAGCAAGGAATCCAGTATTTCATTCAAGGACAAAACACATACGAGTTCAGTACCATTTCATTTGTGAAAAGGTGAAAGAAGGGACAATAGATATGCAGAAAATCCATACCAAAGACAACATAGCAGATTTCATGGCGAAGGAGATCAACGCTGATAAATTTACCTGGTGTCGATCCTCCTGTGGCCTGTCAGAAACGTAAGCAACATGAAGGTACAAAGTAAAAAGAATAGTGTTAAGATATGATTATTCCAATCAAATCTTCAAGTGGGAGATTGTTAAAAGTCAAATAATTTAGGCACCAAATGGTGCTTTGTCAAAGTCAAAAATTAGGCACCTAATTTTTGTTGAAATTGGGTAATGGGATAATTAATCTTAATCATTGTAATTTAGAGTATTTATAAGATTAGTCTTTAAGTTTCAACTATAAATACCCTAGCTCATTTAGCTTCAAAATCATCCCAAAGCATTCTAGCTTTCTTCCAAATACTAGAGAATTTAGAGAGTTTCTTGAGAGTTGTTTTCTCTTTTTTTTTATCTAGAGAGAATTATCATTTAGCTCATTTAGCTTCAAAATCATCCCAAAGCATTCTAGCTTTCTTCCAATACTAGAGAGATTTTAGAGAGTTTCTTGAGAGTTGGTTTCTCCTTTTTTATCTAGAGAGAATTATCATTGTTTTCTCCTTGGTAGATCGAGAGAGGTTGTAATTCCTATTTTCTTATAGTGAAACTCTTCTACCGTTGCCCGTGGTTTTTACCCTAAATTTTTAGGGGTTTTCCACGTAAATTTTGTGTCTCTTTTATCTTCATTTTTATTTTCTCAAATTATCAGTTGCGATTTTGCTCTATCTGATAGTCGTCTTTCGCAACAATTGACACCGTTTTTCTATATGGGAAATTAGGTGAGCGTTATTGTTATTTCAATATTATTTTCATAAACTTGAATAAAAGTGGTTTCTTCTTTTTTTTAAAAAATTCTGAATTGAAGTTGAAATACATATGAAGTCTCTCTCTAAAGTCGATCACTTATATAATCTCAGGTTTTCCCTCTTCCTTAACCCAATTTTTCTTCCGTTATTGACATGTTAAATCAATTTTTCATCTTCTTGTTTCTTTTCTGTTTCTTTTATTTTTTATAGCTCAAGTTAAATTGAGACTATGCTTTGCAGTCCATGTGAAGGGTATATAGGCAGATTTTGGTTAATAGTTGTTCGTATTTCTTTAGTTGTAGGTTTAATCAAAGTAAATTCAGACTTAAGGGAAGGAAACGCTAATTTTTTATGCTTATTTTTAATAAAGAAAAATAATAAAGATGGAAGTTGGTGGTGATTAACAATAACACTAGACCATTTGGGAATGTTTTTACGAGTGTTTTTGGTCCGTTTGAAACATAAAAATATTGTCAAACAACTCATTTTCAGTCATAAATTCATCAAAGCAATGTGCACATTTTTAGTTCATACTTTATTTTTTATATACGGTGAACCTAATCAAAGCATGCCTCATGTTCAACGGGTTAGAACTATTTTGCTTATAATGGTGAGACCCGGTAACTATTACAGCTTTGAATTTGGACATCTCACATTGGATAGTTTGAAGGCAATCGAGGATAAGTACAAACAGATTTTGTAACTTAGACGCCCTTTCCCCTATTGGAAGGTCAGAAAACCAAATCAAAATCATTTGCTCGCTTCATAAGTAAACCCCCCAATAGCCACCGGTTACCTACTCACCAAATCAAAATAATTTCCTGTAGATGAAAGAAAACGGTTGTTTCCAACGCTACCAATGAATGGAACTTGCACAAAAAAATAAAATTGAATCGGATCTCAATCTGATTGTAACAGAAGAACCTGGAACATGTACCCACTAAAGGGTCCTAAGTTAAAACACAATGGGAGGGAAACGATGTTTACCATAACTTGAGATCAAGATCTCTCGCTTCTTCTTTAGATGATTGACCTTCCTCGTGAGACGACTTGCTTTCATCGGGGTTAGGCGGCGTAGGAGATCCTCCTAAATTGTTAACTTGGTACGGCGCTCTCGCAGCTGCCCTGACAAATGAAGCCCATGGTGTTGATTTAGTGATATAATTCAACAAAGGCGAGAAGAACGATATAAAATCCCAACCTTTAAGGCCAGGCTCTGCTATCCTGGAATTGAGATATTATAATATTGTTGATCAATTGTTGACTGGTACATTGATCAACAAATATGTATATTGTGTGTGAATGTTTGATGGACAAAAGGAATATAAAAAATAAAAAAAGGGTTCATCATAGTTTGCTATCTAAGGCTCTAGTTTTGATTCAATCAAAGTTCTGCACATTTCTTAGGATCTGGGAAAACAAAATAGTTTCTAAGAAGCTTTAGCGGCATCCAAAAGTTTTCCAGTGCTGCAAAAACTTTCTTACCTGTCTTTTCTCTTTTCAAAGAACTTGTGAAGTGAATTTCTTCTAGCAATTCGTAAATCTGCAAAGAAGAAAGTAAAGAAAACAACTCAGAGTTGGTCATTAATAGTTTTTTTTTTTAAGTTTGAAAATTTTCTAACAGGATTTAATTCAAGGACACATTATAATTACCTGACCCTACATATTCACGCCGCTCGGCCGAGGGAACAGGAGGAGGAGGAGGAAGACTATTGCCGATCGTGGTGGCGACGTTCAGGTCGGGAATTTCAGGATTGCTAGACTCGACTTTGTCAATTTTAGAATTAACCTTTTCCATGCCGGTGTCAGCAACAACGCCACTGCATGCAGTTGAGCATCCACTGCTAGCTAAAATGTCCATGATTTCCTTAAACTTGTCCGAAGGAAAGTCATTATATACCACCACTTGTCCCCCAAAAAACATAGTCAGATGGGAACTCTTTGCCTCCACTTTTGCTGGTTTCCTAAATCAACAAAACGCTAAATACCAAGTTTCATTGCCATTTCTAACAATTTTTTGTCAATCCTATGACTCTATGAGTATTAAACGGATAAGATCAAATAAAGTGTATCTAAAATTATGAATATCTTGTGAGGAAACACACACACCTGAAATCTGTCTTGTTATTGGTATCTTCCTTGGAACTGAAGGCACCAAAGCTACCCATCTCTGGAAAAAAACCAGAAGGTCTCGCATTTGAGTTTGATGTAGATGCCACAAGATTTGGTTTTAAACTCTCAGAAGATTTATCCATATTAGGCAAAAAGTTCATTGTCCCTGCAACATCACCATACATAGTGTAGACACCCGTTTTTGACCAGGTTTTATATTTCTATTATTATAATTTATTTATTATTATTAATAATTTCTTTATTTTATTTTTTGTAGGAACCCATGTTCAAACCTACTACTCCACCACTACCCACTACCCAAAAATAAGGGAACCTCTATTGCTATACCCACCATTATCTCCTAACCAACCCCACCTCACACGTCTCAACTAAATCCACATATGTTTCCTTCTTTTTCTCTCAAAAAGGAAAGTGGGAAGCTGGAGGTAGAGTTATTTATTTCAACGGGAGATTGGCAAAAAGTGGGGGCGCAAAAGGAAAAACGCTAAAGGGTGCTCGGCTTTCTCTCTCTCAAGTGGGGGTTCTCTCACTTTGCCTACTTTCTTTTTCTTCTATGGTTTCCACTTTCCAGCATCAAATGGCAAGCCAGACCCTTAATTTCATGGTGATATTCTTCATCAATTCACTAGTTTTCATCACCCTTGGTAAATCAGTTATCGGCTTCACCAAATCGGTGTGGGTCATGTTCCTTAGGCCACCAAAGAACCTCAGCATTACTATGGCTCATGGGCTATAGTCACCGGCTGCACCGATGGAATCGGGAAAGCGCTGGCGTTTCAACTCAAATATTCTTCTTTATGGGATTTTTTTGATGAGCAAAATGATCACGTGGTAATAGAACAAATACTACGGGTTTTTATAGATCCCAAGCGCCTTTGTCATGCACTAGAAAAATTGAAGCGCCAATTAGCTGATGTTGATGCTGCAGTTGAGGCACGCAAAAAAGCGTCCAGAGGATGAAGGTCCGAGGATCATTGGAGAACAGGCCCGGGCTGTGTAAAACTCGGTCGAAAGAGATTAACGAATTACTTGTAGCTGGAGCCTGTCAGATTTTGAAGACAGGATCAATCCATTTGGTCATTTCCAGAAAAATCGTTCCGATCGAGCCTGGCTCTTGGATGGGGCAAATGAATAAGACTGAATAGACTCAAACGGGTCCAACTAATCACACGACAACTCCCCCTCAACCCCCAGTATTTCAAGATCAAGAAAACACAAGGAAACGACATTACAGAGGAGTGAGGTCAAGGCCATGAGGGAAGTGGGTGGCTGAAATTCGTGATCCGAAGAAAGCAGTCTGGGCGGCTCGGCACTTTCGGCACGGCCGAGGACCCAACCCTTGCATACGATAGAACCGCTCTCAAGTTCAAAGGTACCAAGGCCAAACTAAAATTCCCCGAACTAGTTCAAGGTGAAGTGGAGCCGAGTCGTGGAGATTCAAGCGACGTGCGAGCGCGACCCAAGCAAAATCCTACGCCGGTTGCTCCGCCTTCTTCGTTGTCTCCGGACCGTTGCCGCTTTGAAATCACGAGAATGATTATCATGCACGAGTACCCTCTTCACATGATTGAGCATCCAGGGTTCAAAGCTTTTGTCCAGAATCTCCATCCTTGGTTTGACAAAGTCAGTTTGTAAATGAATTCATTCTGGCTTCTGTGCGTGAAAACCTCATGGTTTTAAACATTAGGTAAATTCATAATGTGGTCCATCTATTATGGTTCCATTTTTTATATTTATTTTATTACTTCTTTTTATTATTATTTTTCTTTCCCTTTTAATTTATTTAATATTTTTATTTTCTTTTTATTATTTTTATTTTCTTTTCCTTCCTTTCATTTATTTAATATTTATCTTTTATCTTTTATCTAACATTTTTTACTTTTTAGGGATAACTTTAATCAATTAAAGGTAAACAATTCGAATCGAATATTTTTAAATTTTAATTTAAATTTTTAATTTTCGCAATTAAAGACAACCGACAAATTAATTGGTACCGAAAGGGCGGTTCAAGGGTGCTAATTCTTCCTTGACCGTAACCGACTCCCGAACCCGACACATTTCTGGTATAACGCAGATCAGGTAAGATGGTGTCCGACCCGCCTAAATTCATTTCAAAGTGGTCGGTGGCGACTCTAACTCAATCATTCAAGTCGAAGCCCGATTCCGGGGCCGGGGCCCAACCGAGAGACGGTTACGACAGCTTGGCGACTCCGCTGGGGACAGGTAAGTGAGTCAGGCCGAAATTAATTTTCGGTTGTCTTTTTATGCGAAAATGATAAATTTAAATTTAAATTTATTTATTTGATTCCAATTATTTATCTTTGATTATTTTTCAAATAAATAGTTGTACTGACGTTTTTTTTAATGATTTCAGATTTTTTTCAAAATTGTCATCTCTAAGCTCTAAACCCGAGCTCTGAACCCGTTTTAAGTGGGGGTAAAAGCGACGCATTCGTGTGAATTTATTCACCGCATATGCCTAGCAAGTAGCCTTCAGGATTCATATAACTTACGTCTTCGTGTGAATCTATTCACCGCACAGACATAAGGGAATGTTTCCTCTCGAGTTTAACTTAGTCCACACAAGCCTGTGATGGGTTTAGGACTAAGGGTCTGGCAAGCCCAAGGGGGCACCGGCAAGGAGAACTCGAGTACCTTTTTAGAACCTAAACCGGGAGAGTACATGGAATTAAGGCCCATCCCAAAACCTCATTCCAAACCCTATGCTGCTTTTATTTCTTACTTTATTTTCTGTTCAAAGCATGCGAACTAGACAAATATGCGGCTAGGATTTGTTTGAAATTAGCATGTAGGATAGAAATCATGTCTGTGTAGGAATATTAAGCATGTTCGGGTAGATTATCATGTGGGGTAAGACTTTTCATTTTCATCATTTTTATTATTATCATCATTATCTCACTAACTTTATTTTTTTTGTTCTTCCTCCTTTCATTTTTATTCTTTGGCATTTTTTTTATCATTCGCATCATTAAAACGAGGTATTGATCCATAAAAAATGTGTTTGTTAAACGTAAATAATCTGCATTAATGGACAAAGGGGTTATAATACAAAGAGATAAAAAGCTCAGAAGTCCAACCGTGATCAAAGAATACTCAGAGGCAAAAGTTGCAGGGGCAAGACGAGGAAATGGTTACTGACCCGGAGAGTCCTTTCGAAAATTACAAAAAAGATGGTGAAACCCTAGCTAAGCCGGAGACCATTATTGATTAATTCCAAGAACAGGTCGACAAACTTCGGATTGAGGGCTCCAATGGCACTTTCGTTTGGAACGAGCTCGGCAAGCAACTCGTTACCCGCACAAGTTTAGCCAAAGGAACTGGAATGGTTCGACAAGATATTCAACCGGTGAAAAAGCGGAAGACGAATCAACTTTCCAGAGGCTGTGCATGATCTATACCATCAAAAAAGTTTTTTGTCTCTTCAGACGTAACATTTTTGTCCCCAATAAGGATTATTCAGAATAATAGGCACGTTTTTCGGATCAATGCCTAGAACATTTCATGCATCATACATTCAGACATATTGTGCATTTTGTTACTTTTCTTTACATTCGCATTATGATTCCCTTTTTTTTCATTACGTTCACATGTCTCATCAAAAATGAGAATATTCCGATCCTATGACATATAAGGAGCTTTACCAATAGTTGTTTGATGCACACGTGGTGTCCATGAAGCCCCGTACCCCAGGTAGTATGATGAGAACGCTCATTGCGAAAATCATAGCGGAGTCCCAGGGTGCACTATCGAGAATTACTCCACCATCAAGAGAATCATACAGAAAATACGTAACCAGAACTGGATCGACTTCAACAACTTGGGGGCATCTAAGTGAGGCATATCATTTCATCATTTGAGCCATTCTGTTTGGATTTGTTTTTTCATTCTTTTCTCAAGTTTTTGCAAGGACTTTTAAATAAATTTATGTTGCTTTAATGATGGCGAGCAATAAATCACATTTGCAAACTTGCAATTCTTTGAATACCATTTGAATTAAGAAACTCTGTTAATGGTTCAAAGTTACGGATCTTTGACAAAGTAACATGATTTTAAAAAAAAAAAGGACTTTGACCTTATCCAGAATATACCCTCAAACACCACACCCTGCTCTTGTAATTAACCAATATACCCTTTTCCTTTCATAAGGTGCGGACAACATGGGGCATCATTTGCATATGACAATTACTATGTTTTTTATTTAAGACGTTCAATGACGATGATGATCTTTACAAATGAAAGAGTCGAGTAGGTGAATCTAGTTTAGGTCAGTTGCTTGAAAATTGAACTCTAAAGATGAGATTCCTTGACTTTCAAAAACACTTAGACTATAACAGGTTCTTCTTGACAATCTTAGGAAATTAAATCCGTAAAAACTGAGCTATTCCGCTAAGGCAATTGGTTATAGAGGAAACTTGAAAGCCCTGGCCTTATGAGTAGATTACGTTCAAACCATGACATTGCTCGGACACTTGGCAATTCGGTGTTTGCTCCACTGCTCTTGTCAGGCCGAAGACTCTGTGATGAGATGAACCCTTCAGTTAACTTGATAAGAGTGATTATAATATTAAGCTGTCCCTCTAAAGCAATTGGTTTAATGCCCCGACTTTACGGATTCAGCTAGCCAGATAATGACAAGTTAAATCAAATTTATCTAAGAAAGAAATTTTCGGTAAAATGGACTAAGGGAGTTAAGGAACACCTGTTATAGTCAAATACACACGAGCACTCAAGAATTTCATTTTTAGACCGATGTTTTTGCACTGCCTTTGTTAGAGGAGCCTACAAAGCTTGAACAAATAGAAGATTTCAGAGGACTGAAATAAAAGGTCTAGTAAGTGATCATGCTAGTTGCGTCATTTTGTCCGCACCCAATTGAAGTGCCAAAGCATGTCAAGATATTTAAAAAAAATGACATTTTTTTTCCAAAACCTTAGAAAGGAGGTCAAGCTAAAGCCAACCCATCCATTTGAACATTTGTCAAAGAGCTGTAACTCTGAAAACATTAAAAGAGCTATTGATTCCTTTGATATTCTTTGAACTCACGTTTATAACTTGATTCAATTGCGAATAATATTTTACAGCATTTTTATCATTTTCTCTCCTGAAATAAGAAAAATGAGAAAAACATTTTCAAACAGAACAA